TCAAGGAACGTCTCTTAAACTTGATAATTTTCCCTGATGGGAAGATTTATGTTGCTGTTTCTGGCTGCGCTGGAATTGTGCCAGTTTTTGATCAGTGTCCAAGTAACCATGCAGAAATACTATACCAAAGAGGGGAAAAAAAAAAGTTGCTGGGCTCACATGCTAACATAAAGCTTGCTACCTTCTAATTTTGCAATCAAAACAAATACCATCCTGGACTGCAAGAACAGCAGCAAGGGAGTGAGCCGTCCGTTAAATGTTCAGCACTGCCAAAGGAAGTGGCAGAACCGTTAGCTGAAGCAGCAGGCTTACTGGCACAGTGCACATTTCGTGGGGCTTTATAGCTTCTTTTAAAATAGTCTCCACAACTGCAGACAGTCTGCGGGCTGCATCAGCTGAGTAAAATGTTATCCTGCTAGTACAGGGAATTATTAACATGTTTTCTCCATGCCAACTGTCTCTCCGCTGACTGACCCATGCAAGCAACTCAGTGAAAGAACAGTTTTTAAAAAAAATCCTTCCAACCTAGCTGGGCTTTTTTGATGACTAGTTTGGCTGAGGGATAAACAAAACCCTGTAGCTTTGCTGGATGCCACACTGAGCTTGCAACTTAGCACAAAATGATAGACTTGAACTCCAGAGAAGCAAGATTTATTTGAGAGTTTGGGTTTGGGTTTTGCTTTTAATTATCGTCTCAGACTGGGATGAGTAAGAAGGAGGAGAAATGCACAATGTGGGAAGCAGTTTACACTCTTCATGTATGACAGCAAAAGGATGTACTTTTAAGTTTGTAATATCAAAACTGTACATGTGCAGCCAGGAAAATCAAGACAGCTTCTGTTACTTGAATATTACAGGTCTGGGGAACAGGATAAGTAGTAATTTAAAAATTTAAACTTAAGAAGTTACTACTCCAGGGCTAAAAGAAGTCCAACCTTATGCCTTCACTGGAAGGTGCACATGATGTCTGGCAGTCTTTGTTCCAGGTTTGTACTGTACCTTGTACAGTGATGTCGTGGCTTACAACTGGTCTCCCTAATAGTTCAAGTAATTATTGATACTGGTGCAATTTCAGTAGATGCTGAAGTGCTTAGACTAGAGCTGTGTGTTTTCATTCTACTTGTAGTTATGGGACAATTTGTGTAAGCTTGCTTTTTTTGTGTGTGTGCGTCTACTTATCTGTTGCATTGGATGATTTGTATGGTAAGTTGGGATGTCAGGTGGTCATGCCTCTCATTTTTCTCATTTGATAAATGAGATCTGACAACTAGGAGATTTCTCAGGCAGGGCCATGGCCTCCCTGAATTCAGTATCATACACTTTTGGGCATTTCCAAAGCTTCCTGCAGCTTCCAGATTCCTCATAATACTGGTGGGGTTTTGTTTGTTTTTAAAAAGAATATTATTTTGAAACTTTAGAAGGAAATAAATGGATGTAGAAACAAATTTTTAGTTTTAAAAATTAAGGAACAATCTGATCTCAAAGGAGCTTCCCCAGCAAATGATGAGGAAACTGATGGACCAAGAGTTAAAAGGGTGCAGTGAGGCACGTGCACGTTGAAGCTGCGTTTATACCAGGGATGGATACTTCCATTGCTGCTGAGATAGCCCAGGTAGCTATTCCTGCCGGGATCCAGCATTTAAGTGACAGTGCTGCTAAGAGGTTTGAGGTTTGTAGACACTCTTGGTTGTAGTCTGGAGAAGAGGAGGCTGAGAGGAGACCTTATCGCTCTATACAACTACCTGAAAGGGGGTTGTGGCGACGAGGGTGTTGGCCTCTTCTCCCAAGTAACTAGCGATAGGACAAGAGGAAATGGCTTCAAGTTGCGCCAGGGGAGGTTTAGATTGGATATTAGGAAAAATTTCTTCACTGAGAGGGTGGTCAGGCATTGGAACAGGCTGCCCAGGGAGGTGGTGGAGTCGCCATCTCTGGAAGTGTTCAAGAAACGTGTGGATGTGGTGCTTCAGGACATGGTTTAGGGGACATGGTGGCGCTGGATTAATGGTTGGACTTGATGATCTTGAAGGTCCTTTCCAACCTAGTGTTTCTGTGATTCTGTAATAACCAATGAGTTGGAGAATGCAAGTTAAAGAGGATCAGCTGTCAGAGGACTAGCTGAGTTGGCTGTCATGATTCTGCCCCTCCTACTTTTGGTAATGTTCTTAACTAAAATCCTTTCTGAGTTGTGTCACTGGTGACTGTTACCTGCTTGTCTTATGTGGACTGTACAAGCCTTGTTTAAGCTTGATGATCAAAACATGCATGTGAAGAGGCAGTGCATGTCCCAGAGAGTTTGCAGGCTGGCTGGGTGGAGCAAATGAAGACAGAAAGAATCTATCGCTATCTGCATGGCACAAATGAGGAGCTGTGGTGCAAAGATACTGAGGGCCTTGGCTAAGGTCAGAGAGGGAGTTGGGAGAGGCAGGAGCTACATTTGTGTTTGAACTACAGTTCTGGAATTTAATAAAAACTAGTTTAAAAAAATCCTTAGCAAATGGAGTTTGAGGGGTAGGAGGAAATAATTAAATTCAAATGAAAAGAGAATTGTTGTATTTAACCTTATGTTATTTAAAGGGAAGACTTAAGTTACATTGCATAGTTCCAAACTTATGACTGAAATGCTCTATAGCAGTAGGAATTGCTCTCTGTCGGTGTTTTATTTCCTGTCAATCCTTGCATTGGATTCACTTTGTTAATCAAGAAGACGGCAAAGGAAATGCTTCAATGGTGGTCACCAGGGGCTTGCAGTCAGTGTTGCATACACTTGGAAGCCCTGGGGTCTGAAATCCATGCAGAGAGCTGCCCAGAAAGAGACTGACTGAAAATTCCCAATTATCTTTCTTTATTCTTTTTAATTCTTTGTCTATTTCCCCCTCTTTGCCTGAAGATTGTATTTAGCAATATTTCTGCTGCTGCTTTGAGTTGATGGAACATCAGGAGAAAATGTTTCCAGAGTTTTTTCCAAATATGAAATCTCAAGTAACATCCCAGTTTTGAAATTCCTTGCCCCAAGAATGCCAGCATCCGTCTTGGCTGCTTGGTGGTCACCCTGCCTGCTAACAGCAGCACAACCAGCATGATCAGATGAGAGGGCTGGGGAGCAGAAACTACTCCTTTTTGAACTACAAAGCTGGGCTCTTGAGTTATCAAAGAATAGGGACCAGAGGCCCAATTCTGGATCAATACTTGTGCCATATACATGGCACAAGAAAGTCTTACTGTGCTTACCTCTGCTTTTTCTACATCCTTGGAATATAATGGGTCTTGTGAATGGATGGTAGCAGAGCCATAACTGGTCTTGTCTGGTCCCTGCACATATAAGCGCACACACTCACAAACAGGTTTGGTTGAGGTTTTTAATGATTTCATTTTCCATAGAAGCACTGTAAAAAATTAACTACACAATTAACTAAAAGAAAAAAAAGATCAGGTTTCTGGAGCCAGGGACTCCTGTGAGCCAAGCCATACTGGTCCATGGCAAGGTGTACCCAGCAGCCGTGGCACCCAGAGCTCTCGGGTGTCTGTGATGGCTGTGGCACCAAGAGCATCATCCACTTTATGGCGTGGTGCCCTGTGCCACAACATCACTGGGGTGCTGGAGCGTTCTCCTAGTTACGGAGCTGCTGGGGCAGCAGCTGGCCTCTGGAATGCAAATACCTCTGCTACCTGGCAAGCCTGAGAAGACTGATATTTAAACATCCCTCTCTGCTGCAGATCTGTTTATGTTTGTACACATCTATTTTTGTAAAATTCTCCCCAGTTAGGTATGTGTTTACTTTCTGCCATCATCTAATCAGCAACTCAAAGGGTAAGACAATGTTCTGTATTTAGTCCAGATACTCAGTGGAGATGATTAGGGATGTATCAAAGAAGAGTTTTGGTTTTTTTTCCCTAGGATTTCTTAATGCTTTCTCCTTCCTGTATTACTGGAGCTTCTGTCTCTGCTCATGTTTCTCTGTACAACCACGAAGCGTATGTCAGTGAGCGGATTTGTATGGCTTTCTGAACGGATTTGAAATAATTTGCCTGTAGAAAGTGATTGTGGTCTGTTTGCCATCAGAAGAGTAGCTGCAGTCCTGATGTGAATTGAAATACCAAATGGCTGTGAAAGATGACATAGCAAAGCTGTTTACCACATGGTATACAAGACACAGTGATACTAGACCATTTTTTTTTCCCTGGAGTTTGCTGGGGAAAAAGTAGAATACAGTAATGCAGTTTGTGTATTCTTCTGTATTTCATATGTGCCTATAAGAGAGTTCATGACAGTGCTCTCTTAGGCAGCTCATGGGATATAGGTATAATATTAATCATTATTTATATTGAGCCTGTATTTTGACACTTCCATACGAAGTGGAGGGCCCAGTCGGGTACATGTAGTAAGGGTAATAGTAACATATTTATGAGATTCAAATGCAGATCACTTCAAGACAGGACATTTCTGGTTACACCTTTCATTCACAGCTGTTCGCAGCACTTCCCTTTGCCCCTTCTTTTATTTCTTTGGATCAAGGTCCTCTGACAGCTGTTGCCTGCTCTTGATTATGTGATTTTAGACTAACCATTGCACCAGTGTAGAGACTTGTGATCTTTCTCAGTGCCAGCTAGCATGGGTCTAGAGACAATGCAATTAAGTTTACATGGAGCTTGGATCAGCACATTTGTGGGAATATCTGCATTACACCCTAACTGTGTTCCCTAAGAGTATTCCTATGCTACCCCATGTGTTTTCTTTGCATGAAGATGCTCTTTGAGCCAGATACAGCAAGAACTAGCCCTGTGAAGCTTACTGGCTACCTGCAGGCTTTGAATTTGGGAATTGCTGTTCCACTGTCTGTTGGATCTTGAACCGTGCCCACCATAAAATAAAGTGTGTTACAAGGGAACAAAGCAGATGGGGTAAAGAGCCTGAGTTAAGATACTTCTGCTGTTGATTGAACATGCCTACTTCAAGTAAGTATCTGTATTTACACATTGTCCTCTTCCTCTCATTTGATCTAGGTTATATGGTTGGATCCTGGAAATGGGATGTCAGTCCCATTCAGGGAACATAAAGGAAGAAAGAGACTCTCCCAGTTGCTGCTGCTGTGACAGCGAGTGAGAGCAAGAGCAGGAAAATGTCGACAGTCACATCAGCAATCCAGGCTCCTCAGGGCCCTGTGAATCCACCGCCTCCGGAGGTCACTAATCCTAATAAGCCTGGCCGGAAGACCAACCAATTGCAATATATGCAAAATGTTGTGGTAAAGACTTTGTGGAAGCATCAGTTTGCTTGGCCTTTCTACCAGCCTGTTGATGCAATTAAATTGAATTTGCCGGTACGTGTATCTCTTCTTCTGCTCATATTCTGTTCTTAGAAAGTTTTGTGTTAGTGATATCAGTTTTCTGATCACTGGATCAGAATGATTAGGTTGCGTCTGGGGATTTCCTTGAATGCTCTTAGACTCCGTGAATTAGAAGATGATGTCTTTCAGAGCTGGTCTCTGAAGGAGAAAACTGCTTCTCACTTAGTGAGGGAAGAGAAGAGCACACAGGCAAGCTGTCTTAGAGCAACTGAAGTGTAGCACTTCCTTTGTAGCTTACCTCTGTTTACTTCTATGTGCCTTCATCCCTTGTTGCACCTCTGTCCAATGTGAGAGAGTCTTTAAGCCCACACTTCTGAGCGTTTGGCATTGGGCTAAATGTAACTTGTGTTTTCAATAGGCTCTTCTGGATTTGCCACTGACTTCAGTGTTGAGGAAGACAGGAGAAGCTAATTACCAAGGATACTTTGGAGCTAGACATTTTCAAATGCTGTATGGAAGCAGAAATAACAGAACAGCTGCATTTACTCATCTGCCTCCTGTGACTGATGATGTATACCTTGTCTTTATCAGACCAGATAGTACAAGATATAGCCCAGTTATTCATAAATGACCAAAGTTTACTAGCTGCTTTCTTCCAGGGAACAGAGCCACTCACTCTTCACCTATTCAAAGGGGTCCTGTAGTTGTAAAAACTCAGCAGTGGAGGCATACCCCTGCCCACCTGCTTCACTTAAACATGGACACCACCACTCCCCCATCCACCCTGCTCTCTGCTCAGCTGGGCAGCCCATTGCAAATGAGCTCTGGCTGCTTTGAGCGAGAGAGTTGCGTGTAGGGTTTGAGGGAGCATGGATCTGGGATGTAAGGTCAGGAAAGCTCCAGTTACTGCAGGTTATAACCAAATTTTATGGCCTGGATCAGGAGCCTTCTGAACTCTGTATGTTGTTGATGGGTACTATTTAAAGTGCTAGCCAAAAGAGTAAAACACTTAACACCAGTGTAGTATTTCTCTAGGTCTGTGCTCCTTTGTGTCGTCTTTTTGAGAATTTAGTCTCTCAGTGAGGCATTTTGAAGTAGTTTGGGGGCAGGTTACCAGAAAATTTAAAGGAGTCGTCAGTTGGAAGAATAGTTGTTTTTCACGTGCAGCCAAAATCTGCACAAGCCCAGTGGCCAGCAGGACTGCCTTTTCTGCCTTAGCATGCCTTGCCTGGAAATACTGGTGTCTTGGATTGTGCTTTGAGGGTTGGGCTCAGAGAGTGGCCAGTGGCTGTACACGGCTTCATGTGCACGTGCAGCGAGAGGGCTTGCTGCTCTTCTCCAGAATGAGAAAATTACAGCGTATAACCTTGCATGCCTAGAGCATCTCCGGACTAATCACAGCCTCTACAGATGCTTCAGACCAGCCCAGAGAGAAACTGGGTTAACCTGTGGAAGCCTTTTAAAGGCTGAAATGCCCATAAAAGAGGGACTGAAACTTTTAGCATAGTCTTAGCCAGTGCTGGCACTTACAAACTTATGTAAGTGCCAGAGGCAGTTTTTTAAAAGGGAGGCAGAAATGCTGTTTCCCAAATTGCAGACAGTCCACTATTAAACTGAACACCCTGCCAAAGCGAGTGCTGCCCCTGCTGCCCCGACATCTGGTCCCACGCAAGCATGAAGCACATTGCTGCAGCGTTCATAGAATCATTAAGGTTGGAAAAGACCTCTGAGATCATCAAGTCCAACCGTCAACCCAACACCCATCATGCCCACTAAACCATATCCCGAAGTGCCACGTTAGTCTAGCTGTCAAGTGTGGCACCCTTCCACTCTGCGGCACAATCCAAAATGGCACCTACAGCCTCGTAAAGGGTATCAAGGCTGCAAACAACTTCCAGAGAGAGCTGCTCAGCACATTTTCTTCCACATGTTACTCTTGGTGCCTTCCCAGTCCAGCTGTATTTGTAAAAAGCTGGTAATGTCCCAGTAGCCATTTGTGTGTGTGTTTGAGCATGTATTGGGGGGAGTTGTGGAAGGTTGGTGGATGTGGAAGGAGTTCTTGTGCTTTGTCGTCAAGTTCAAAATAATGATAGACTAAAAGCCTACAAATTGGAAGATAAATGAAAGCAGAGGTGGTATTTGCCATTTCCACAAAAACTTGGGGATGTGTTTTTTGGGAGGGGGAATGAGGAGAAAGCTGGGACTAGAGAGAGATGTGAACAACGTGCTCCGTGTATCAGGAGATGTAATGTCTTTCCTGTTTCTCCAACAGGATTATCACAAAATAATAAAAAACCCCATGGACATGGGGACGATCAAGAAGCGCCTGGAACATAACTATTACTGGAGTGCCAGTGAATGTATGCAGGATTTCAACACCATGTTTACAAATTGTTACATTTATAACAAGGTAAAGAGCCCAAACAAGCATTTAGCTGGGGCACTGCCTAGAAAAGACCCACCTACAACTGTTACGGTGCAGGTTTTGGACAGGGTCAGCTCTGCTGTGCTCCAGGCCCTCCTTGCAAGGATTTGAAATGCCACTAATTGCAACCACATTACTTGAAATGCACAAAGCTGTCTTTGTGCTGTGTCTTTCTTCCCCCAGACTAGTTAAAATGGCAAGTGTGCCTTTTAATTATAGGTAGATTTCTGCTTTGGGGTTATGTAGCAAGTTTTTACTCCTTTTATTTCCAGTTAGGAATTCTTTAAGGTGAGATAAAGTTTATGCAGTGTTTTGCAGGTGTTATGCGGGGTGTTAGTGCTGTGTGTTACACTGGCTGTCTAGCAATAAATAGTATCTCTCAGCAGCAGAGAGCAGTTCAGGAAGTATAACTCTGTTCTCTGCCTGTGTCTCGTCCATACTTGCACACCTTTAGATTGCTTATTATTATTTTGGGTTTGGCTGCTTTGCTGTTTTGTTAGGTTGTTAAAAGTGTGTATTCTTTGTATTATGTTTTCTACAATGGTTTGTCGTCATTGACCCATACTGGAGAACAAGTTGAAATAAACAAATTAATTAGTTTGAGCCACAGAATATGTGTTTACACTCTTTGCTTGGACCTGCTGGCAAGCAGGAGAGGACAGCTCATCTGTTCCAGTTTGCTGCTTCCACACTGATGCACAGGATGCTAGTTATCATGCTCCTACTGGAAGTCCTGATAACTCTCTGAATGCAGTGTACTTAGAGGCAGTAATTATTGTATGCTAGACCAGAATAGAAGAGCAGGAGGGTAGCATGCAAGGAGGGAGAAGAGCCAGTCTGTTTTTTGTTGGAGCTTGGATACCGTCATTTATTTGAAGGGATTTTATCACTGGGGATTTCAAAACCTGATCTTGAACCTCTCTGCTTCTAATATGTGGATGATACAGCATGGGTTTGTATTCTTCTTTATGCAGCCCACAGATGACATCGTCCTAATGGCCCAAGCCCTGGAGAAGATATTTCTGCAGAAGGTGGCCCAGATGCCTCAGGAGGAAGTCGAGTTACTACCCCCAGTTCCTAAAGGCAAAGGTCGCAAGCCATCAGCGGGCACACAGAATGCAGGTATTAACCCGATCCAGTGACAGTAAATGTTATGAGCCTGTTGCTGAGGCCTGACCCACATTCCAAGCTGCCTGGCTTTGCAAATGGTGAAGGGCTCGGAAGGGGGCTTGTAGTCCGATGGTTAAAGCAGTGGAGGAAAGTGCGAGATGTCTAGACAGTGTTCACCCAGTGTTTCAGGGCTTTGTCTGTCTTAAGGCCACGCTGCGTTTGTCATACAGACATCATACCATCTGTGACTTACCCATCCACGCAGCATATCAGTGAGGGAGGGAAATGCTGTTGCTTCCTGTATGCAAAGAAGAAACAAAGGCAAGAAGCAGCAAGGTAGTTAGATGTGCCAGTCTGCTGCTAGTAACAGACCGTGGTGTGGAATGCCTTTATAGACCTGGGTTTATACAGCTCACCCAAGGTCCTGGCAGACGTCTGACACAACAGAGGCTTCTACTTAAATCTTGCCAATCCTCTAAATTGTGTGTAACATTTTTGTTTTGCGCACACGGTTGAAACAACATAGAATGAAGTTTGATCAACAGAAAGGATTTATTAAGCCTGTGCAAAAGGCTGTGTAGACCATTGCATATCAGTAGAAACTAAGTTCAGTTCAGCTTACGCAGAGTTGTTTTTAAATGGATTTAGGACTAAAACGTCTGTAAGCATGGTAAAACAGTTCATAAAGGAGCTTGTGTGGGCTGAATTAAACTGTTGGAAATTTTTTTTCTGTAAACAAGGTCTAATTGTTGCTCTGGCAAAGTCAACTGTTCCTCTTTGTTTTCCTACACCTCAGGTGCTAAATGGAGCTACAACTTCATCCAAGCTCAGAGAAATTTGTGGTGATGTGTCTTTTCAGCATCCTTTGATAACAGCTGCTATAAAAACATAGAGGAGTATTGCTGCTTTGGTTATTAGTTCCTAGATTTGTTCCCCTTAACTTTACACAAGTAGGCAGGTCTAGCATAAGAGTCATTTGCCTGGCTATGAGGAGACTTAGGCTCTACTCCCAGCTGTGTTTCTTTTGCTGTATAACTTTGGGCAAATCTGAAGTGCTTTGGACTCTTCAGTGTTTAGCTGGCAGTAGGGGAGTGGTTGCTACCATTTGTCATACATCGTAAAAACACTCCCAGACTGAGGTCTGTGCAGGACAGCAGTTGTCCAAAAGAGCCCTCTCCCTCCATTCCCTTTTCTTGAGCTCCTGCTCTTATGCTGAGCGCAGGGTAGCTCTGAGAGCATGAGGGGGGTGAAGACTGTCCCAAAGCAACACACAGCCGATGTGCAAAGCTTGAAGTATTTCGATTGCATGTGGTTGACCTAAAGCTCATGGTCTGAGGACTTAGGCCAGTCATTTCTCATTTTTTGTTGACCGCTGGGTAACAGCACCAAGCAAATCGCACTGTGTCCTTTATGCTCTTCTGCAGCCCTGGACTGGGAGCCTTTTGCCAAGCCCATGATTGCACGGTCCTGTGGCACTAGTGTCACTTTGTTCCCAGTGTCTTGTCGGCACTTGTAACCATCAATACATTGCAGTGCATTTTCACTTTGTCGTTTGAAAGGAGCGCAGCAAGCAGTGGCCGTGTCTTCCGTCTCCCCGCCGGCCCCGTTCCAGAACGTCCCTCCAGCTGTGTCTCAGACGCCCGTCATTGCTGCCACCCCTGTGCCAACCATCACTGCTAATGTCCCGCCTGTCACTGCCCCTCCCGCCGCTGCTCCCCCTCCGCCTGCTGCTCCGATAATGCCCGTGGTGCCTCCTACGCCACCGGTAGTCAAGGTAAATGGAGAACTCGACCCCTCCCTCTTCAGAAGGCAATATTGCTAAGCAGTGCTTTATTTTCATCCCCTCACTGCTGGTTATGTACATTCCTTCTCTTTGCATTTGACTGCTTGCCTCTCTGGTCATCATTGTCCCCTTGGGGTATGCTCAGACAAGTGCTTGCTGTTGAGTTTGAGAGGATTGGGGAAAGTTTTGCCAGTTTTACTGCACCCCAGCTAAGGTGATGTCACCTGTAATTGCCCCAGCTCAGTTACAAGCTCTCATCTGACCATAGCCTTAGCCAATGCTGATTCTCCATGAACCAGAAGGCTGTTTCCCCCATTTTGCACCATATAGCCCAAAGCATCTCTTCCTTCTGTAACTCGCCCCCTGATTTTACTGGGCCTATTCCTTTAAGGTTTTTAGACTCCAGCACTAGGAATGTACCTTTCTGCCATAAACCAGTTCAAGACAAGCCTGTCACTCCAGTTGGAGGAGACTGGTGTTGCCTGCAGGTTTGGGGTGCATTAGTTCTGTCTTCTTTACTAAGGAATTTTCTGGGAGTTGCCATTGGTATTTTGCTATTTACTATGTTAATTTATGGGTAAATGAAAACATTGCTATAATGATGGGAATTTTCCTAGCAAGCTGTGTACTGCATTAAAAATGATGAAAGCATAGCTCCCCCCCCCCCCCAACTGGGATATTAACTGCAACAGTATTGGTGTTCTCTGATGTGAGGTTGCATGGGCCAGCAGAGCCACAGAATTGTTTTGCTTATTTAACCCTATAGCTTGGGAATTACTAGAGAAATTTTAAGTCACATCTTACGGCAACTAAGCTGTCCTCCTCAGAAGCCTGTCTCATACTTGATTTTCTGTCCAAATAACTTGCTTCTGAGAATCAGTTTAATTTTAAAACTGAAGGATGAATCCAGAAGTGAGTTTTCCAAATACTTGCTGCAAAATTAATCCTGCTTGAGATTTACTTAAGATTTCCCTAAGGAACCTTTTCCCCTTTCTCTCTGTCCAGAAAAATAAATTCTTTTATAGGAGCATGAGAGCGCTGACTGGACAGTCACAGCTGGAATTTATGTGAGATAGGTTTCATTTGCTTAAGGCAAAATCAGTAAATTCTTGCTCTCGTCCATAATAAGCAACCTACCCTAGCACACCGACTAAATACAAGGGAGTGAGGGCTCTTGGGTCTTTGGTGATTAATATGCTTTGGTTCAGAACTTATAGCCTGATCCTGCCACTGGGGACTCAGACATGTGGTTAAGTTACTGACACTTACTAAGTCACGATGCATCAGCTGAGCTGCAGTAATCGACTGGGCGCACTCCTTTCCCTTGGCAAACATGAGGTAAGAGTCCTTAGTTTAAATCTCAGTGAAATACATAGAGCTAACACATTTTGCATCATGTTTGGGGTTGGGTTGGAGATGTGCAAATGGCTGGTTACTGTGGCTCAGATGACATGTAGTAATACATCGTGTTGTAGTCACTGAATTGTGTGTTGAAGCCTCTAGTCGCAAGTCCCGTTTATCCCAGTGAAGTAATTGTATTTTCTGTCAGAGGACAGGCAGATCTCAAAAATAAGGATGACTTGCGCTAGCTTTCTGCTAGCATACCATGAGAGCTGGGCACATACTCATGAAGTCTGTCCATCTGCTGTTTCAGAAAAAGGGAGTGAAGCGGAAAGCAGACACGACAACCCCCACCACCTCTGCGATCACTGCCAGCCGAAGCGAGTCACCCACACCCCTCTCAGACCCCAAGCAGGCCAAAATCATTGCTCGACGGGAGAGTGGCGGCCGGCCCATCAAACCACCAAAGAAAGACCTTGAAGATGGAGAGGTCCCCCAGCATGCAGGGAAGAAGGGCAAACTCTCTGAGCACCTCAAGTACTGTGACAGCATTCTCAAGGAGATGCTCTCGAAGAAGCATGCAGCCTATGCATGGCCCTTTTACAAGCCTGTTGATGCAGAGGCCTTGGAATTACATGACTATCATGATATTATCAAACACCCCATGGATCTCAGTACTGTTAAAGTACGTCCACATTTACCACCTCTTTTGCAGGGTGTTCACAGCCCTCTGGTTGCAGGGGGCTGGCTCCTTCTGGGGGAGGGGGAAGGGACAAGGGTGGAAAACTGAACCTGTTTGGATATCATCTGGATATTTTTATATTTTCTTTCCTTCCCCTCTTCTTTTTTTCCCATAACCTGGGACGTCTTTTTTTCTGCCCTGCAAAGTAGACTGTACAACGGCATCCTCTCCTTTTTATGGATAGTCCAGCTATTTAAACTTGTGTCCTTGGGATTGTGTTGCACTCTGAGAAGAAGAGGTGCCATATCATAGGATTCGATTGATAGTATCCCATTTCCAGGAACTGCTGCCTGCCTACTTGTTGTCATGATGAGGGGTCCAGATAGGCTTACGCTGAGCAATTCCAACTGGAATGTGATGATTGCCCGATACTTGAGAAGGGGAGGAAATACCATGATGCTTGTGCAGTTCAATCTTGGGTCTTCAAAAGCATAGCTTAGTCTGGTCCAGTATTCAAGGTGTTTCTCTCAGTAGACTGGCAGGTTTCTCTGAATCCCTCCTAAATATCCATGGAGCAAAGCTGTGGGTTTTTTCTAGTTCTCATCTTCTGCTTGTCAGCTGGCCATTGGAATTGGTGTTGGTGGAGGTGAGACTTTCTTCCCTGTGCAGGAAAGTATTTCTGCCAGCTTTCACTAGCATGCCAGAAGTGTTTTGCTGCCATCTGAGCCAACGTCTGGGATTGTCTGAATGCCCAGGTGACAAAAGTGCAGCTGTGTTCGTGATTCCTTTCATGTTCCTTGGCAAATCCTACGTAGTACCTGAAAGTAGTGTGTTGTGCTCTGATGTGCCATGCCATTCAGCCATGGTGGTGCAAGGGCTCTTACTACAGCTGCAGTATTCTTATGAGTGTTTTAATTGCATTATTTGGTGGCGAGGGAATAGTTGTCATGGTCTGTGCATTGAGGATTAGACCAGAGTTACCAGTGTCTGAGTTTTTAAGTGTTGGTCCTGGGCAAGTTTCCCCATAGCTCTATGCAGCTCTGTGCCGTAGTTTTCCCAGTCATAAAATGGAGATAATAATACTTAGCTGTCCTCACAACAGCCCTGTGAGGTAGGTTATCCGGAAGGCACTATCTAAGTACTAATTACTATTATTGATTGGGTTTGTACAGAAAAGACTGTCTCTGAGTTGGCAAAAGCACTGGAAGTGGGCTGTGGTGGAGCTAGGCTTGGAGACCATTCTCCTCCTGAGCTTGCAGTGCCCTTGCGTTGTTGTCAAAAAATGGTACCAGCATGCAGTATTTTTGACTTGCAGTTAAACTGAGCTGTGTTGAAGGCCTGCAGAAATTTCCTGAGAGGAGAAGGGGACAAGACAAAGGGTGAATTGAGCTGCAGGCAAGAAGAGGGAGCCTGAAACACAGTGGTAAAAGCAGGAGAAAGGGATGGGTTGAACATGGTAGTCTGCAAAGCTGGAGTGCTGGTGAATCGCTGTAATGTTCTGCTGACAGAGGAAGGTCCCGGTGTTTTCTTGGGTAAGTTTCCATTTTCCCTTGCTCTTGAGTGTGGATGAGGAAGGAGGAAGCTGCCCTCAGTTTTGGTACTGCAGTGCATTTGCCATCCTGCTGATTTTGGATGCTCAGTGCTGAAGGCCTACTTAATCTTTGTATGTTGTTTTAATGTTATGACTTGCTTTCAAGGTCTGCTCACTTTGCGTTGGAGTTGCTCTTCTCCATCAGCTTGGAGGTCCATCCGCATGGCTTCAGTCATAGCCTAATGGATAATTCAGGTTGGTCAGGAGGCTTGCCTTCTCAAAACAGGGTCACTTACACACTCTGGTCTGCTCCCTTCCAGGGGTCACCACCTTCTCAGCTGAGTGGATCTGACCTTGCTCCTCTGATGCCAGTGAGTGCATTGGGAGCAGGAACAGGTTGCAAATGAGGTTTTTGGTGTTCTTCTGTAAGTCAGATCAGAGTGATGAAGTGTTATTGATAGCCTTTTCTCTGCTAGTCTTGTGAACACAAGTCACTGGATGATCATGTCTTAGATGAACTCATTCAGTTACTGTACGGACTTTAGTGGGACTGCTTGTAAACCTAGTCCTTTCAGACCTATTCTCAGCTCAGTCATATTCACTTGACTTCTGGAGATGCTGTGGGTCTCCTGCAGCCTGGTAGATCAAGCTCTAGCTGAATGCAGTAAGATTAGAGATGGAGAGAGTGTAATCCTGACTCTCTCAAAGCTGGTATTTCCATGTCTGGTTAGGTGGCTTTTTATTGCAAGGGATTCTGTGCTGTATTCTGCAAAATCTAGGTGCAAAACTGTGATTTCTTGGATTGGTGACTTCTTCACACTTAAATCTCTTCATAGTCCTAACTTTATTCTTTTAAAAAGTGTACACCTCTGACTGGACTTTCTCTGCAAGTGCAGGTGATACTGTACCTTACTAGTGTAGGATAGAAAACTCGAGACTAGTGTAGGATGGAAAACTGGTCTCCACTGGAGACCCATGGAGTCTTTTGCATGTAAAGACTGTGGATTTGTCTTTCCACGTGGTAGTTTTTCTTAATAAACTTGTTTGAAGTGCTGTCTGGTATTGTTTTTTTTATGGAGTGTTTTATCATCATTGCTCTTGGCCTTTAGATCGTAGCGTGACTTTTCTGAGATGCAGTCTATAATACGTTAACTGCATGGGACAGAAATGTGCCGTTTGCAGGCAGTGTAATTCTCCAGTGTCGGGCTTTCTCTGTGGCTCTGAAAGGTTTTAGATTTAATTCTTCACAAGTGACAATGGCTGTGGTAAAGCAGCGCAGCTAATGGCCTTCAAACTAATCTTGAAGGAATTCTGTGAGAAAGTGAAATGTAAGCACTGCTATAGCTATAATAGATTCCCCAATACCTGGTTGCTTGTCACTTTGGTTCTCTGGTTATATGAGGTTTGATTTTCTTCAGAGAATATCCTTCATGTCCAGGAGCATTTTTTTTCAGGCTGTGCATGCAGCAGAGGTGTGCTTCAGAAGGATTTGGAAATTGTTTTCTCTGTGTGTGTGTGGTGGAGGAGGCAGGTTGGCTGTTGTGACTGTGATTGTGCCTGTGAGAGGTGGAGGGGCTGTAGCTGAGCTTGTTGCAGCCAGGAGCAGAGGGGTGTGCTGGAGTGCCCTGCTGGAGCGCCCTGCTGGAGCAAGGACGGAGAGCGGGAAGAGCCGAAGGGACAAGATCAGTGAGCTCATCTCCACCTCAATTCTCAGTCGTCACAGAGGGGGAAAGAGCAGAACTGCTTGGAGTAGAGAGAGGAAAGGATGAAAGCATGGGGAGAGAGGGAGGCAGAAGCATGCGTTACCGCTTTACAAACTAAGAGTCAGCAGCCCTCATTCCCCGTCATAGGTGAAACACTTACTATGAAGCTGTAGCAGCATTGTACTTCTGCTGCCCTGTCCACAGGCAGACAGAGCCCACTTGCAGTATGTTCATGTCCCCCTCTCTGATGCTGGGGAGCTTCGGCGTGGGGAAGCAGGGCGCTGTGCCCGCGATGGAGCTGGGTGGAACTGGAGCACCTCTTCCCTTGCTCCATCCTCTGGCTGCTGGGTCACAGGAGCAGCGATGCGGATGTGTCTGCCCTTGGTTTACTCAGTCATGAACAAGCAACATGAACAAGTACTTGCTATGCAAGAAGGTTTCTACAAGGTGTTTACTTTTGGAGTAAAGCGCTACCTCCAGGGATCTAACTATGCTCACTAGTTAATTTTGTTGCAGTGAATTGCTGTGGTTTCAGAGCAGCTGCGTTTAGGGTCTTGAAAGCGAGGAGACATCCTTTGGGGGAATTTTTAAAGATTTCTTTAGTTGCACCTATTTGAGAGTACAAATGCAGCTTCACACAGCAGCTGCCCTTGTTGAGGCAGTTTCTGTAAGGTGCAGTAGGCCCCCAGAAATCAGGCTGAGTCCTCATTAGCTGATAAAAATGGCATTTTCTCTGCTAAAATTGCTGGACCTGTGTGGCCCTGTCCCTCGTCAGCACTTGCCCTGATGCCATGCCCAAGGCACGTGCTTTGAGCACAGATTGATGTCCAGTTTAGTCTTGGAGAGGCAAAAATGGAAAGGTGACATGTTAAACATGTAAAAGGTTGCTGCAGGAAGGGAGGGAATAAAGTTTTCTCTGCATCCTCTCTGGGCAGGACAAGGATTACCTTAGAGCACAAGACACATTAGACATTAAGAACAAATTTCTGAATGTTAAAGAATATTAAACGATTGAATTTATTACTGAGGGAAAAATGAGATCACTCTGGTAAATATTGCACAGGGCAGAGAATGGGCTAACTGACCTCATAGCACCTCTGCCAGTCCTGCTTGTCTATGACTCCTGATTTGCAGTTGTAAATATAATAACTATTTTTAAGCAGATGGATATCTCAAAGTGAATTTGTAACCAAAGATATTCCAGCCCCCCAATTTAAAGTCCTTTTTCTTTTGTTAAGTTAATTATTCTTTACAAGAAAACAAAACAAAAATCCACAGATTAAAACTGCTGGGCTAGAAAACTGTTGGGTCGCATGAAAGCAAAGCCTCAGACACTGGAATGTATTTCATAGGCAGTAATCAGCCATTGAGTGTGCCAAACAAATATAAGTGCATCAAAAAGGCCTTTCATGTAGTAAGACGTATTTTAAAATAAATGGGCCCTTTCGTTTGAATGTGAGTTTTGCTTTGGAATTGGCCCGAGACGCTTTTCGAATAAGGCCAGCTCTCCTTCAGACAGGAGACGCACAAACCTATTTCCCTTTCTGTCTTTGTGCTGTGGCTCAGAGGCTTTCTTCTAGTTTATTCACCAAGAGAATGAGGTTTTGTGACAAAAGTTTGACACATGTCTGGCTGCAGCATAGCAGGGAGTGAGGCTGCAGAAATGTCACTGCCCGGCGTGCAGGTCCCTCTGAAGCTGCATCCCTGGAGGTGAAGTTCTGTCCTACTCAGAACAGCAGCAGTTTTAGGAGTCAATGCAGTGTTTCAAGATAGTTACAAGGTGTACCATGTAGCTGTGAGATATCTGTAGCTTCCATTGAAAAAATGGGAATTTTGCTCGCGTTAAGGTTTCTAGTGTGGGTTCCCGACACTGAGCAGCCCTGCTTTCTGCTCAGATGGTGGACATCTCTTCCCCCATCACGTTTGCAGCCTGTCTTCTCTTCACTGGGGGATACAGGTGTACAAGATGTGCAAAAGAGAGGCCTGCAAGTACTTGGAAAATAGAGAATTTCTTTAAATCCAGGTCTTTTAAATGCAAATGAAATCTAGTGTTACCTTTTTTTTCCTTTCGTTAGGAATAATTGGAGCTAAGGTTTTACATGTAGTAGTAATATATTCATAAAATCCGTTAAGTTCTAGGAAATCTATAAACTGTTCTCTAAACCCAAGTCATTCAGTCCCAGACAGCATGAGAAATGGATGAAAGTGAAAGCTGAAAAATAAGAGAAAGGAACAAGGTGCAAATATTCGGCTCCTGATACTTACCCTCACTACACTAGGAAATAACATTATGAATAGGTTCATAAAGGGTGAATTCTGTATCCATTCTCTATCAGTTAGACTTTTAAATCAAGAGTAGATGTAGTTCAACTGTAAATGCCTATTTTGCTGTAGGAATCGCTGAGCAAAATTCATGCCCTGTGTTAGTGGGAAGTCAGAGTTAGGTGGTCATGATCTCCTCTGCCCTTTCAGATTTATAGGGCAAATATACCCAAGCAGCACATAGAAATACATGCTTAAGGTAATCCTGTAATTATAGCTTGGTTGTTTGTTGACTCCTGCCCTTTTCACCCGTGATCCTTGTTTGCATTAGTTTCTGATCCAGCAAGCCCTCTTTCTAAATGACTCTTATTTTCTAGTAGAATGTGGACCCTGACAGATTTATATAGTAGTACTAAGAAAAAGACGCAAATTTAGAATCTTGAAGTGTTTAAACTGTTACAGAGCAATATCAACTTCTTTAGTTGCCTGGTCTTTGTTTGCTTGCTTGTTGTAAAAAACAGAAACTTTGAATGTTATTTAGGAACCAATAAGCCAGATTAAACCACTGTTCTCTTAGAAAAATGTGATTTTTGAGGCTGCTCTGAGCTGTCTCCAAGATGCACGTGTCTTCCGTGCAGTTGCTACAAATGCCTTTTGCTTATGGCTTTTTCTCCCCTTTCCCTTTGGCTTGTTTATTTGCAGAAAAAAATGGACAGTCGGGAATACCAGGATGCACAAGGTTTTGCAGCAGATATTCGGTTAATGTTCTCTAATTGTTACAAGTACAATCCTCCAGACCACGAAGTGGTAGCGATGGCCAGGAAGCTCCAGGTAAAGGTGTTGGCAAATGAGTCTTCCAGAGTACACTTAGTTCAGCTACAAGGTGTCGGATTCAGAGATCCAAGCATGGATCTGCTCTTGGCACCAACAAGGGAGAGTTAGTGATTCCTCCAGCCTTTGGAAAGAGCCATGTGCTCTGCTGCAGAACTGTTGAGCTCTTCACATAGCATGGCCCAACGCCACGTTCTGCTCCTAAAATGTCGTAATTGTTGCTATATGAAGTAATGGGAGAATTTTCTTGGGCCTACAAGAATATGTGTGCCCATCTGTACATTATTATTTACTTGTACAGCACCTCGTGTAGTGCAGTGAGACCCTGACCCATGGTGGGGTATCTGGTGTGTTTAAAAGGCCCAAATGTGGACTTGGTGGCTGAGGCTCCTTTTGTCACCAGTTTTTCCCCGGCTTTTGTAGGATGTCTTTGAGATGAGGTTCGCAAAGATGCCTGATGAGCCTGCGGAGGCCCCACCTCCCCCTCCACCAACAGCACCAGTGGTGAGCAAAAGCACAGAGAGCAGTCACAGCAGTGAGGAGAGCTCTTCTGACTCCGATAGCTCAGACTCGGAAGAAGAGAGAGCAACTCGGCTGGCAGAGCTCCAGGAGCAGGTATTGCAATGGCCAAGCTGTGTCTGTGCAGTGGAAAGGGCATAGCAGGAGGAAGGGTTTAATTTTGTTCTTAAAAAAATCACATCTAGGCTGGGATGCAGCAAAGCAGTCTCCCCTTCTGCCAGCTGAAGGGGAAGAACACTCAGCTGTGAAACAAGTGCGTGTTTGATGTAGTGTTTATTTTCTTAGAGATAGCCATTCTCGGCGCTGATGCTCTGCGCTTCCTTCTGTAATCCCAGAGTGTGGATGAAGGTAATACATGTAATACTAGGGATCTGGGGAGAACAGAGAGACCCATTTTGTGTGAGAGCTCAGGCATAACAAAATCTGTCACAAGCTTCCAGTGGGATATTGTCCCGCTGAACCCCATCTGTAGAAATGAGCTGTTTTGACTGTTGTGGTTGCAAACACTTAAGCTGTGGCCTTTCTTATTATGCAGATACACAGTGCCAGATGCTACAGTGCTTACATGTGCTACTGCAGTACAACAAAGCATTAATAAAATAGCTTATCTGCTGTCTCAAAGCAAGCTAGTAGGAGAGCCAAGAAGTGAACCCAGGATTCCAGAGGCCAAGTTGTCAGCACTCGAGATAGAGCTATTAAACTTAATTTTTATTTGCCCCTATAAAACAAGAATGACGTTTTCATTTGAGTCAGCTTCTGCATACTTGCACTGCTTTTTTAAAAGAATTTCATATTGAGTAAAGTCTCCTGAGTTCAGTCACTGGACTGCTTGATCACTGACTTTGGGATATACTTATATGGTGGGATGTAGAGGTATGTGGAGGCGTTAGTCATCTTGCCTTGAAGCCTGATGAATTTTTTCACTGTTCTCCCCCAGCTAAAGGCCGTGCATGAGCAGCTAGCAGCATTGTCACAAGCGCCAGTGAACAAACCAAAGAAAAAAAAAGAGAAGAAGGAAAAAGAGAAGAAAAAGAAAGATAAAGAGAAGGAAAAAGAAAAGCACAAAGTAAAAGCTGAGGAGGAGAAGAAACCCAAGGTGGCTCAACCACCAAAACAAACCCAACAGAAGAAGGCCCCAGCTAAGAAAGCAAACAGCACAACCACAGCTAGCAGGTAAGAGCCTGTCTTCTGCAAATTGCTTTAAGGGATATGCCAAGAGCTTCCAGCCCAGTTCTACTGTCCCTCCTGTCCCTGTTCAATTCCTGGTGAAGCTTAGTTGTCAGAGTAGTTAATTTGCTGTTGAATAGTGTTCCCATTCCCAGACAACTCCATGGAGTCTTTCAGTTAGAGCTGGCGGTGAAGCCATCATATTTCCACTGTCCAACTCTTAGAATCCCTGCCTTATAGCTCTCAGATAAGGTTTTGCTTTTTGCCTTTTGTACAGCCAGCAAGAATGTGCCATTTCATTGCTGCCCCCCTGCTGCTACATGGGCATGCCTCACAGGGCTAAAATTTAATAGGATTAGAACAGCGGATGTCAGATTTCTGAATTTTTTCAGAAGTTGTGATGCTTGTTCAAGCCATCTGGCTAGAAAGAAAGAGTTTATTGCTTCTATATACCTGTGAATGTTTCCATGCTTGCCAACCCCCCCAGGCAGCCCAAGAAAGGAGGCAAACAGGCATCTGCAACCTATGATTCAGACGAGGAGGAGGAAGGTCTGCCCATGACCTATGATGAGAAACGACAACTCAGCTTGGACATCAACCGCCTGCCCGGGGAGAAGCTAGGCAGGGTGGTGCACATCATCCAGTCGCGGGAACCTTCCCTCAGAGACTCCAATCCTGACGAGATAGAAATAGATTTTGAAACATTGAAGCCCACAACTTTACGAGAACTGGAGAGATACGTGAAATCTTGTTTACAGAAAAAACAGAGGAAACCGTTTTGTAAGTTACCTCCTGGGGCACATGTTCCCTCACAAGCTCTTGGGCTCAGCTTTGGAGTCAGGGCATGTGTGTTGGGATTCTCTTATCCAGCTGTTGGGTATGTGATGACGGGGATTTTTGGAGATTCTTTTCTCCTAAGAAAATGTACAGAAACTTTCCACTTTTTCTGTTCTTTCTTCCCATGATGTCATGACATGGAGACCCGGAGGACTACCGTGTTCCTCTACAAGACTTGTGTGATACCTTTATTACTTATCTAGAATCTAGAAGGCACTACAAAGGTTTCAGTCTCACTGTGGTAGGTGTTACATGCACACATCTGGAAGGATCAGTTTCTTATCCTGAATAGTTTAGCATCTAATTAGGAAGGAAACAAAAAGCGTGGTTCGGATCCAAAACACCAAGGGAGTAAGTAACTTGCACAAAGTTACCTGGGCAACCTGTGGATTCTGAGTGTAAGTGTCCTGAGTTGTATATTCACCCCAAAAGTGCTCTTCCTAGGTGGCCTGATCACCATATTGCCCTCAGTCTCTTATCAGAGGATTAATTGGTTCAGCATGGGACAGACTTTTCTCTGTGCCTCATCCACAGAGAGTGAATTGTTGCGGCCCCTTGAGACTTTAGCTCCAGCTGAATAGCAGTAGGGTCACTTAACCTGAAGTGGTCCTGGATCTGTCCATCTGCTTGTTGGTTAAGAGGGAGTTGTCCTGTTAAGAGTATAACACAATAGCTACTCACAACTCTTGCAGAGCACCTCCATTTCCTCACCACAGGACTTTCAGGTAGGCCTAAGCAAAGCTCAGACTTTGACCTTTTTTTTTTTTTGCTTTTTAATACACTGCTTTGATTCCTGCCCCACCCCCTCCCCCCACCAAGTCCTTTACTGTTGGAATAGCCCAGGAAAAGATTTTTTCCAGAGTGGTTAGGAACAAGAGGCATCCTTCTGTTTTGGAACCGAAGCATAGAGTAATGCAGATGACCTCAGATGTCCGTTCATCCACTCCTCTGAGACTGGTACACCCTGGGCTGGCAGGTTGGCGTGCCTGAGCCCAGCCCGACTCTCCTGCTGTCGGCTGTATATTGCAGTGCTTAGTGTTCAGGGGTGCACCCTCTTAGGACTGTGCTTTCCAGTTTTCTTTTTTTACAATCATCGCTTTAAAACAGCGCACAGAACTGTAGGTATTTCCTTGCTGGATCGAGCAAAATATCTGGCCCCTGTTTTGTGCTTCTGATACTGGCCAACACCTGTGTTCAATTACTTCTTTGGAGGGATATTTCTTCTGCTCAGAAGTATGAATATTCTGGTACTTCTCATCATTTCCATCCGAACTGGTGTGGCTACGTTCTTCTTGTCTGTCAGCCCTTGCCTCAGTTGGTTTTTACTTTGTCCTTTTTGTTTTTATATTTAAAGCAACATAAAACACAGTAGTTTCTTGCGTGAAGTATCTTAAGTCTTAATGGCAGATGCTTACTTCTGACAACCCTTAATAGGACACTTTATTTTACAGGGCAGAAAACCCATGTAATAATTCTGTAATTACAAATGTGTAACTATTGACCATATAACTGGCTGGTAAGTAACCTGTAACTACAAGGTTATTACATGGATATTTCTATCTTCTAAAATACTTTACGGAAGGTCTCTCTTAAAAAGCGCATGTTAAAGAATGATGGTGATTGGATGATCTAGACAACTTCATATGTTGTCCTCTATCTGGAATGTATAGTTGCTGTGTAGTCACTTGATCTTAGCAGTGTCACTGCAGAGTGGTTGCACAGATTTACACGCCCTGTAAAATAGTGATGTCCACTCCTTATTGCCTGCAACCGTGCAGTTTCAGAAATTGTGCGTTCCTCCTCCACAGCTGCAAGTGGAAAAAAGCAAGCAGCAAAGTCAAAAGAAGAGTTAGCTCAGGAAAAGAAGAAAGAATTAGAAAAACGGTTACAGGACGTCAGTGGGCAGCTAAACAACAACAAGAAACCTGCAAAGAAAGGTAATGGCATTGGTTTTACTATGCTAACAATGCCCAAAATGCTCCTCACTGAGGCAAAACTACTGCCGCCTTGTAGCCTTAGTTTTATCTCTGACAGTTATCCTAGCTGGTCACTAGTGTAGGGTGTCGTGGTTTAACTCCAGCCGGCAACTAAGCCCCACGCAGCTGCTCGCTCACCCCCCCCACAGCGGGATGGGGGAGAGAATCAGAATGGTAGAAGTGAGAAAACTCGTAGATTGAGATAAAAGCGGTTTTAATAGGTGAAGCAAAAGCTGTGCACGCAAGCAAAACAAAACAAGGAATTCATTCATTACTTCCCTTCGTCAGGCGTTTAGGCTGGCGTTCAGCCATCTGCAGGAAAGCAGGGCTCCATCACGTGTAATGGTGACTTGGGAAGACAAACGCCATCACTCTGAACGTCCCCTTCCAGACAGTTATGAATGAAGCCATGGAGGGTGAAGGCTGTAG